CCCTCTCATGCCGTCTTTGGCCACAGGTCAGCGTGGTCAGCGCCTTCGCCCAGACCCTGCGGAGATACACATCCCTCAACCACCTGGCACAGGCGGCTCGGGCCGTGCTTCAGAACACTTCCCAGATCAACCAGATGCTCAGCGACCTCAACCGCGTGGACTTTGCCAACGTGCAGGTGACTTTCCCCACAGCCTGGATGGGGCTCCAGGACCAGACTGCAAGGCAGGGACAATGTGCGCGTGACCCCAACCCCTCTGGACTGGACTTGCACCCCTTAGAAAAAGGCATAAACCCTCAATCTGCAGCCATAGCAAACCCAGCGCACATTTCTGCTGCAGGAACTAGATTCAGGGTCGGCCCACCCAAGGACCGCAGGTCTCCACTTCAGGATCTCTCAGCCTCTCAGAGTTGTGACCATCACCTAGATTCATTTTCTTTAAAATTGTACCTTCCTATTGCCACATTCATGGTTCTTTCTTTGGGCCTAGAAAAGTTCAGGCTGTCAGTAAATGGATCCTGCTACTGTATTTATGTCAAGTTCAGGCCCTGGGTCAACCCACTAAACACACACACATTCACAAGAGTGACCACTCAAAAATAAAACCAAAGACATGGTATAATTGGAGATATAGGTCCGGGAAACCTGGATTTAAGTCCTTATATGCTGGGACAGGTTCCCTCTCTGTTCCATTGTCTCCGTCCCCATGAGATTGGGTACTAATGGTGCTTGACTGCAGTTGGAAAAGGCCACGGGTGAGGATGGGTGCATGCTCGGCCTAAGGTCAGACGTGGAGCTGGTGCTCAGGAGATGGCCGCAGTCTGGGTCCCTGGGCTCTCACCCATGGCATTGGTAGCGGGGGCTGTCACTGACTCTCTCTTCTGACCCCCGCCCTTGCACCTGCAGGAGCAAGCCTCGTGGGTGTGCCAGTGCAAGGAGAGCGTGGTGCAGCGGCTAGAGCAGGACTTCAAGCTGACCCTGCAGCAGCAGAGCTCCCTGGACCAGTGGGCCAGCTGGCTCGACAACGTGGTCACGCAGGTCCTGAAGCAGCATGCGGGCAGCCCCAGCTTCCCCAAGGCTGCCCGGCAACCACCTTCTCCCCAGCCCTTGAAAGCCGACCTTTTATAGGTAAGTGCCCCTTGAACTCCCCGAGAACTCTGGAAGGGCAGGAGTGGAGGGCTCCAGAGGTCCCGCCTTCAGTAGCCAAAAGCCCAAACCAGGGCCCAACCTGTAGGCCTCATCTGACAGGCTTGCTCCCAGGGTCAGGCCCAGAGGCACCCTGTGGCCTAAAAGTAGGTGGCAAGCTTCCACAGACAGAAATCGTCATCGAGCCTTCTGGAGAAACATAGCAGCTTGAGCCCATGTGTTTATTTCTGCTCCCCAGCAGAACTCGACAAAGTGGCAGTAAAGGAAGTGGTGAAAAGGCATAAATCCCCAGAACAAGGAGAACAGGAGAGCAGATGATGGCGGATCAATGAGTGAGAGCAAGAGTTGGGGGGTGCTGTGAGGTGGTCAGTTAGGTCAGTGAGCCAGACGGGGAGCAACCATTGGGCTTTTAGTCACTCACTTCCAAGTGCAAGCAGGAGACAGAAACCGGCGTCACTTCCCCTGTGGTCCCATGTGTCCCTGCAGAATGGTACTGGGCAAGGGTCAGGTGTGTCGAGAGTATATATAGCTTAAATTATATATGTAAATACATGTTAATCATAATTGTATACGAATATAGAAATAATTATTATATATTAACTAGAGGCCCAGTGCAAGAAAATCATGCGGGAGGGGTGAGGCAGGGGGCCCCTCAGCCCGCCTGCAACCTCTCACAGTCCGGGACCCCTCGCTCCTTACCGCCTGCCTGCAGCAGAGGCGCCACCGCCACTGAGCTTGCCAGCCGTGAGCCTGGCTTCTGCCTGAGCACACTGACCACCAGGGGGCAGCTCCTGCGTTGAGCATCTGCCCCTTGGTGGTCAGTGCGCATCATAGTGACCGGTCGTTCTGCTGTCCAGTCGATTGCATATCAGGGTTTTATTATATAGGATATATAAAGAGATGTATTACAAGGAACTGGCTCATGCAATTGTGAGGGCCTGAAAGTCTGAAATCTGTGGGGCAGGCCAGCGGCTGGAGACTCAGGCAGGCAACACTGCAGGCCATGGTGGGATTTCTTATTCAGGGAAGCCTCCGTTTTGCTCTGAAGGCCTTTCAACTGATTAGGTGAGGCCCATGTTATCAAGGGTAATCTTCACTTATGTCGAGAGGTGATAGATGGGAACCACAGCCACAAAATAACTCCACAGCAACACCTGGACACTGTTTGATTGAATAACGGGGCACCAGAGCCTAGCCAAGTTGACACATAAACTGTCACAGAAAGTAAATATGAGAGAGGAAAAAATATGAAGAAAGAAAAAAATGTGAGAAAAATCATAAAAGAAAAACGAAAGGATTTGATCTAGAAGGTTCACTAATTATTTTAAATGACAGAAAATGGAGGGAAAGAAAATAATAAAACCATAATCAAGCAGCTGTCTCAGAACTGAAGGGCACCAGCCTCCAAACTGAAGAAGCTGCCGTGTTTCCAATACAATGAATGACACCCTCCCCACGGAGCATCCCTGTGGAGTATTAGGCTGGAGACAACCGAAAAGGCGTCCAAGAAAAGTGACAGGCCACACTGAAGGCCTAAGAACCAGAACAGTGTCTTCTGACTGAACTAGAATTCAGGATCTAGTTCTTCCTGTGAGTCTGGGTACAGAGAAAGCAGTATCTTCAGAATTCTGAAGGAAAACTGTTTCCAAGATGCAATTCTAACCTTTGTAGAAGGGAGCAGGGGAACTGGGGCTTCAGAAGGGACACTGCCCAGAAGACACGGACTGTGCTTGCTAACAGCAGCCCAGCAGTTCTGCAGGGGAGTCCTGGTCTCAGTGATAAATACATAGAAAATTGAACATTTTTAAAGAAGGGTCAGTTGCCCTGGCTGGTTTGGCTCAGTGGATAGAGCATTCACCTGCATACTGAAGGGTCCCAGGTTCAATTCTGGTCAGGGACACATGCCAGAGATCAGTTAACCCCAGGAAAATGATAGCCACTCTAAGGCTTTCAGGCCATGCGTGATCCAGCTGAACAGGGAGTTACAGCTGTCAGGTCAGACCACGCTTCACCTGATTGTGCAAATAAACTGTTATTAACACTAGGCCATACTCACTGTTTATGGATCCTTAGCAGAGTTGTGACCATGTGCCACAAAGCTGAAAATATTTACTATCTGGGTCTTATTAAAAAAACAACAAAACAAAAAAACTTCCCTGGTCTCTCAGCCAACTGCCCAGTAACTCCCTGTTCTCAACTCCCTCCTCACTTTCTACTCTAGCCTTGCCACCCCAGGGTCTTACACTGCCTTCCTCTGCCCCATTTAGCCATGTGGCTAGATCATCACCAGAGAAGCCTTCCCAGACCTCCCTAAGTAAAAGCACGCTCCTGCTATTCCTCTGTCCCTCATGCCTTGCTTTTTCTCATGGTCACCTGTCACCTTGTTCTCTCTTTGCCTATCGGTTGTCTGTCTCCTCTGTGATCGAGCACATACCCCAAGAGCTAGGATGTTGTTTTTTCCACTGCACCTTTCCCAGCCCCTAAAGGTGGGTTGAGTGAGTAAAGAAGGAAATGTGAGCCTAATATACTGCCTGGCTCAGCTGTGAGCTTAACACCCCATTGTCACATAAGGGAACACTGAGCCAAAAAGTGCTGTTAAGCAACATTGAGATGACGGATGAAGAAGGCGGTGCACCCCTGAGTCTGGTACAGAGACAGTGCCTGTGGTGGCGTGTCTCAGGGAAAGTCATGATTTGACCAGTCGAGAGCAGTAGAATGAGCCTATGACTTAGAAATGTGAAAACGAGAACACAGCTAAAGTTGAAGGGGGCCGTTGCCTCTGTGTCATGGGCACTTTTCGCTATAAGGATGAAACACTACCTGACTTCATTTTATTGGGTTTAAGGGACTTATTTCTGTAGCATCCACGAGAAAACGGTACAGGGATGGGCACAAGCTTCATGAGGGATCACCATGCTCAGGTTGAGCTTCTCCTGGTGCAGTTCCACTAATGTTCCTACTGCAGGAAGCTATCAGCCCGTGTGGAGTACCCGAAACATACCTGGAGATGGTTCAGAAAAGCTACTTGAACTGAAGCATAGCACCAGATGCCAAGGTTGGGGGTAGTGGGTACAGAGTGCCAGCACAGGAGGAAGTGGGGGGTTTCAGGGGAAGGGAGGTTGGAACTGAGCTGGGTGGGCCACAGATGGGAGGTGAGACCTGAAGAGTATGGACATGGGGTCCCCTAACAAACAGTGTTTGAACAGCCTGAGTTGTCATGAGCGTCCAGACCTGTTACCTTGTGTCTGACAAAGAGCTCCTGGAGAAGGGAACTGGCACAATCTCAAACCAAGCACAGCTTCCTGGGGTGGGGAGTGGAGGGAGAGGTAGCGAGAGGTGAGCAGGGGGTGAGCCTCCTTCCCAGAGACCTGCAGTCCACGGCCCTTCATTTACTAAGGGGAGTTGACCGTACAGAGCCAAAGAAGCTTCTAAAGAGAAAACGTATCACAAACCCTGAGCCCTTTCACCCTGTCCACTTAAAAGCACACCCTTTGCATTCAAGAATGTTCTTCAAGTGACCTTTACTTTCTAAAGTGCCAGTTTGGACACAGTCACCACATGGGTTCCTTCGTTGGTTACTCTTCCTAAGGCATCTCACCTTCAGTCCAAATCAGACCATGAGGGAAGAGGCGGCGCACCATGACAACATGTGATGCCAAGTGTGCCCCTCGCTTGGCCAATAAGCCTGTGAGATAAAGCATCACGGTCTTCGGGCACCCGCACAGATTTGTACAGAGCACCCTAAGCCATCTCAAAGCCACAACCAACTGAAGCCAGCTGTCATTTTCTGTGGCTAAACAAAACTGCCTTCAGAGTGCATCTACACGCTGGCCCAGAGATGCAAAAAGATTAAATAAACTAATGTCACAGCTGTCTTTACTAACTCCCTGCAGCCCCATTGTGATTATACAAGTACGGACATTTTCAGCCTATTAAAAGTTAAACTGAGACATTAAAATTTCCAAACATTTGAACAAATACCAATTCGAATTGGTCAGCGTGAAACCCAAAGTGTCAGGAGCCTCCACCAACAGGAATGAGGACAAGGTGTTATGGAGAAAATGAGGAAGCAAAGCAGTGACATGATTTGACTGGCTACAGTTCGAGCAGCTGCCTTATTTGGGAACTAGTTGTGACTCCTTGTTTGTAAGTTTCACTCTCAGACATTGACATGGCTTAGATTTTGGTTTGCTTACTAGGCTCAAGGCATCAGAGCACCCCAGTGTGATAACCCCTTATTTAATTACTGTAATAGTCTGTATTTACATTGTGTCTCCCTTCCCGTCTTGCCCTGCCTATGTCTTGTATTGCTACGATAGTGATTAGACTTAGCTGAGAGTAGGTGAGCTCTGAAATGGGCATTTGAGTGTTTGGGACTACATGGCAGATGTGTGTATAGACCTGGGTTTCTGGTTGGGTGCCATGTTACTTGAGATCAGGGGTCACTTTTTGTTCTTTAAAAAGAATCCGATACTAAGTATTTTTGAATAATAGTTTTATTGGCACATGGCATACACATGTAAACAAATAGGCATGGCTGTGTGCCAATAAAACTTTATTTATAAACACTGAAACATGAATTTCAGATACTTTTCATGGGTCAAAAAATAATTCTTCTTTTGACTTTTCCCCCAACCATTTAAAATGTAAAAACTATTCTTAGCGCTCAGGTTGTATAAAAACAGGGTGGTAAGCTAGGTTTGGTCTGGAGTGGGCTTTAGTTTGCCAACCCAGAGGCAAAGGCACCCTGAAATTCTGTCTTGTTTTTAGGCACCTAAACCACAGAGTGAAGAGGGAAGGATACAGGGCAGGCTGGGAAAGATGGCCTGCTGTTGGGGAGTCATTATGGCGCTGAAAAGACTCCTTACCAAAGGCGGTCTCTAAGGCTTATGTCAGAGACTGTCACCTTTATGTTCTCAGTGGCCTCTTAGAGCCACTGCTCCTGCTCACCTCCCATCTGCCTGTCCCCACCTGAGTTACACTGGGACATGGGGGTGGTCTGGCAACTGGCATGCCCCTTGTAGGTCTAAGAGGTCCCCAGACGACCCCAGAGCTGAAGAAAAGCCTGGTTCGCCTGCCTGGTGGGGCTCCGTGCTCCCAAAAGGTGCCTAGCCTCTGTCTGCCCGTCCCCCAGCTCCATGGTGATCCGAGACCTCACCCTGCGCAGTGCTGCCAGCTTCGGCTCCTTCCACCTGATACGCCTGCTGTATGATGAGTACATGTTCTATCTGGTGGAGCACCGCGTCGCCAAGGCAACCGGGGAGACACCCATTGCTGTGATGGGAGAGGTGAGGACCAGAGAAGTCTCCAGGGGTGAGGGAGTCTGCTGAGTATGACACAGTGGACAGTGGGCAGGAAAGAGCTCTCATGCTGGAGCCTGCAGGCCTGGGTTCAGATCCTGTCTCCTCGGCCAAGTCTTTATTCTCATTCTGAGCAGGATACCCTGCCTCTGAATGAGGCCTCAAACACAGGCCTTTTTTTTTTATTGTGGTAAAATACATATAACATACAATTTACTATTTTAACCATTTTGAAGTGAACAATTCAGTGACATTTAGTACATTCACAGTGTTGTGCAATATTACCTCTATCTAATTCCAGAACAGTCTATCACCCAAAAGAGAAGCCCCATTCCCATCCTCCTCCCAGCACCTGGCAACCATGAATCTGTCTCTGGATTTGCTTGTTCTGGACATTTCACATGAAATCACACTATGTGGCCTTTGGTCTCTGGCTTCTCATACTGAGCATCATGTTTTCAAGGTTTATCCACGTTGTAGGGGGTGTCAGTGCTTTGCTCTTTTTAGTGGCTGAATAATATTCCAGTATGTGGATGTTCAGCATTTTGTTTGTCCATTCATCTATTGATGGACATTTGGGCTCTTTCCACCTTTTGGCTATTGTGAATTGTGCTGCAGTAAACGTGTGTACAAGTTTTTGTTTGAACACCTATTTTCAGTTATTTTGGGTATCTACCCAGGAGTGGAATTTCTGGGTCATGTGGGATTATTTTGAGGAAGAAATGAGGTTATACTTATACAGCTTTTGGAACATAATAAGCCCTTGATAAATGCCAGCTATTCCTTCACTGTCACTATTCAGAGGCCACAGCCCCTGTCTCTTCTCTGGCCTGAGCAGTCAGCACCCCCTCAACTCTCTAGTAGCTCTTAGACACAACCCAGGAAGTGGCAGAGGGGACACATAGCATCATAGCTACTTCTTATATAAGAAGCCCTCACTTACAAAGCAAAAGCCTGTTTTAACTGCTGACACTCACGAGGACCCACTCTGCCGAGGGCCTGACGCTGGTCTTCTCTCTTTCAGTTCAACGACCTCGCCTCCCTGTCACTGACACTGCTGGACAAAGGTGGGTGTGTCCGTGGCTTTCCCATGAGGCTTACTCCTGTGAGTGGCCTGGTGGAAAATCAGGGCAGCTTCTCGGGTGGGTTGAGAGACTCAGGAGCTGGCACCCAGACAGAGGGTGACACCCAGGCAGCAGTAGGTGTCCCAGTGATGCCTCCTAGTAGTCCTGTCCTCTCCTACTTGAGTGTGGCACTTCATGGGCACCCAAGCCAGGCTCCAAGGAGCAGGGCCACAGCCAGGAATGAGGTGGGAGGGAGGATTTGAAGAGGTAGCAGGGCAGAAAGGCCTCCAGCTCCAGCCCATTCCCTGCCCCCAGAGGGGTGGGAGGACCAAGCACTAAGGGAAAACCTGCCAGGAATGTGACCCAGGCAAATGAGCACTGGTCAAGAGAAGTCACGGATAAAAAGGCCGGGAAGGACCAGGTTAACCAGACCAGAGCTGAGGTTTGTTCATGCCTGAGCGCCTCTGAGGATGTGCTTCTCTCTCCCTCCCTCCTGTCACCCCCCACTCACCCCTTTCTCCCCAACACTAACCCCACAGATGACATCAGTGAAGACCGGAGCAGTGAGGCCGATGCGGATGCCCGCAGCCTGGGTGAGCCCCTGGTAAAACGGGAGCGCAGCGACCCGAACCACTCCCTGTAGGGTATGTAGCACTGAGGCCCTTCCCCAGGCCTGCCTGGCCTCCTCGAGCTCCACAACAGTCGTGCCTCTTACATGAAGTGACCTTGACTCTGACTCACAGGATCCCAGGGCATGTGCACCCTGAAAGGACATGCTGTTCCTCCCCAAGAAAACTGTTGTTCACCACGGCTGAAGGTCACACCTGGTTCTGAGTACCTGAGTGGCTCCCCTGGGGGTCACCGGATCATCTTTTCCTCCTGACTGTCGTAGTTCTCCCGTCTGCTGGACTGTGACCTTCAGGCCACTTCCACACACCCCGCTGAGCTGGAAAGACCAAGCTGGGCAGGTCAGCACCTCTGCGTTGGGCTTCTCCATTCAGCCCAGTCCAGTTTTCACCGTGATTTTTAAAACTCAGGCACAGCCCAGGAAGGAAGGGTGTCCCATAGCTGTTGGTCAGTCCCACGCTGACCTCATCCACGGAGACCCTGCTCTGGTGCCCCTGTGATGGAAAGACGTGTCTCCGCACTGCACCCCATGGCCTCTCGTAGACAGACTGTCCTCGGCCTCCTGTCCTGTGCTGAAGCAGGGAGGTCCCAGGGCCCCACTTCTAGACTCTAAAGGTCCACACAGCGTGTCCCTAGATGGCAGGCAGCCCGTGGGCCCATGTGGCTCAAAGAACAAGTCACAGAAATAGGCCTGCTGTGCTAAGAATTAACACCAGAAGGATTACCAGCACCAGGAAGGACTGTGGGACTGTCCAAGGCTACAGACAACATGAAGCCAACCGCTGAGTCTGCAACACGTCTGATCCAAGGGGGCCCAGGCAGTCATTGTTCCAGTGGTGCATTCAGAAGCCCTCCATCCCGCCAAAGCTGCACCAATAGCCGTGCCTGCAGTGTGGTCCACAGAATCTTCCAGAATGCCTGCCTTGGAATTGGTGATCCTGGAGAACGGTGACCCTGGGCAGGTCCCACCTTTAACTGATTGAAGTTGAGATCTTTTCTGGGGACAAACAAATCCCAAGGACTTGGACAGCCCTGAACTTTAAACTCTCAATCTGTGTCCCAATAGCAACACGCACTTGATTGCTCCGTGTGAGAGTCCTGTCCCAAAAGCAACTGCAAAGAAAGACAAACCTCTAGTCTAGGAAGTGCCATCTAACGCAATGCAAATGTTTCTCTCTTTGGAAATATCTATACCAATAGTTCTGTGCTCCAATTGTTATTAGAACATTTCTTAATAATGTATATTGCAGTATATTTGGTCCCCAATATTTTATCTCATTCACGTCAAGCAGGAGTGCTGGGCCCACCTCGGCCCTCGCCAGGTGTGCGGGGTAGTGGCAGGGAGGAAATGGCAAGAAAGAGACTCGCTGACTGTAGAAACCCCAAGTCCATGATGATCACAATGTTTGTCTGGGCTTAGCGTTCAAGACTTAGATGAAATCAGACAGAGAGAATGTCTTTAAATATACACCTCCTCTGCTGGAAGGCCCCGAAGCCCACGGGGCGTGCACTGTGATGGCCTCTTCTTTCCCAGTGTCAGCTGGGTTCTGCCTTAGGCTCTGCCGTGTCCTTTGCAGGATTCCACGAGGAGGACTACAAATGACAGTAAAGACACGAGTCTTCCGAGCCTGTTCTCGTTTTTCATTGCAGTAAACACATTAAGCATACCCATCTGGGGGTCACAATCCACACTCCAGCCCCCTCCCACCCCAGGGTGCTGGAGGGTAGATGCTCCCTCCCGCCTGCTCGGAGCAGCAGCTTGGAGAAGGAGCATGTTCTTGAAGCTTCACTTAGCAAGGCCGTCCAGGGCCAAAGATGGCAAGAAACAATTCCTAGCACAGGATGGTCGAGGCCATTTGTAAACTGAGTAAATTCATTCAAATATTACAGAATAAATCCACACTCCAGCCACTGAAGCAGCCCACCAGTTGTTCTCAAGGTTTATTTGGGGGCGGGGGGGCGGGGGTGGCTGGCAAATCCAGAATCTCCTAAGAAGCAATGCTAGAGCTTGTTCCAAAATCGCCAATCCCTGGGCCCCAGCTGAAGAAAGCCTGCCTCTTGGGATTGGGCTGGACCTGGGAATCCATATTGTGACCACCATTGCCCAGGGGAGTGTGACACAGGGGATCATAGGACTCTGAAGAAACCCAGCAGAGGAGAGTGATGCCATTCCTGATCAGCCTCCCCTAAAAGCAGCTTCTCACTGCCAGGCCAGTACCCCACATACCCCCAGAGATGCTCAGCCTTAGGCCCCAGAGCAGGCCTCTCTGTCCCAGGAAGTGGCCCTGGGCCATAGGTCCCTTCTAGAATCCTCTATGATGGGGCCTCCAGGTGACACTAAAATTGTCCATCACTTCCTTGGGCTGGGACTCCAGGGTCGTGCTTGGCTTAATGCTCTTCTGTCACTATCTTGAAATTCTTAATTTTGGAACAAAGGGCCTACATTTTCATTTTCACTGGGCCCCACAAATTCCATGGCTGATCCTGGTGAACTCCCTCTTCTTCAGGCCCTGACACTGTGCTGATTCCCTGCCAGTCTCACGGAACCCAGACTCGCCCCTACTCTCTGGTGATTCACAATTTCAGCTACTTAGCAACAATAGCTCTTGCACCAAACAGTAGGCCACCCCCCCTCCCCCACCTTCCCCTTCAGAGAAGCAGGCTGGGTGTTGGGTGGCAGGGTCCCTGCAGGAGAATCAGGCCCTGCCCTTGGGGTCTAAGTGGTGGTGGATTGAACATGGGTGGTGCCTACGTGATTACTGCCCCAGGAGTCAGAGAGATGAGCAAGGGAACCTGCTGAAGTCCCACAGGCTGCCAAGTTCCTTGGAGGGCCCACTGGGTAAGGGCTCTGGGAAGCAGGCATTGCACAATGGAGGGAACCTCGTCCTACCTACCAAGAGCCTCTGGGAGTTTCTGCCTAATCACAGGAGCTCCACAATAGACACTTTGGTCTGATCTCCTCTTTTTGATGATCTTCCAAGGCAGGTATTATCCCGATTGTACGCATGGGGAAATTGGAGCTGCTGGCTGGAATGCAGACATGATGGCTGGAGCACCAACAGCCAGCTTAGATCTTGAGGTGGATGTTATCTAATACGGATGGTAAAGCAATGTGACAGAAGGAGCCTGGGTCCCTGGTGATCATTATAGCTTTAATGGCCCCATCAGAATTCAATAAGCCACAGTTGGGGGGAAAGGGAGTCCAGGGGGACCCATAGGTGCCCCTACACACCCCACTGCAGGTGTTAACTCTTGTCTGCCTTGCTCAAGACTATTTCCCAATTCTAGCACACTGTATGCTCAGCAAACATTTAGTGGATGAGTGAGTGAATTAATGAATGAAGAAGGCCTCTGGGAGAAGATACTATTCCTGGGGATCATGGGAAAGTAGAGGAAAGGAGAGAAAATGTGGAGGAAAGATGAGGAATAGACAAAGCGAAACTTGGGAGGCCACCATCAGAATTTTTAAAGCTGGACTGATTCTGGAAGGATGGATTAAACATGAAGAAACTGGAAGCAAGGTCAACTAGGTACTTGTTAAAGTCTACAAGGGAGGCTGTAGGGGTTGAACTGAAGTGTGGTAGGGGAAGGGGGGACAAGGGCCAAGGCCTGCTAGAGCCACTGTCCAGCAGCAGGCCGAGTGGGTTATAAAATCACTAGTGGCTCGGTGCACAAAAATTTGTGCACTTGGGGGGGAGGGGGGCTGTCCCTCCTGTGCCCTCTCAAAGTCTGGGACCCCTCGGGAGATAACGACCTTCTGGCTTAGGCCCGTTCCTGGGTGGCAGAGGGCAGGCCCAATCCCTAGATGCAGCC